TGGCTGAGGAGGGAGCCGCAGGTGCGGTGCCGGGGAAGGCGCTGGACTGCGGGTGTGACACACGGTGCTGGGGCAGCGCCATCCCCCGAGCCATCCCTCCCAGCCATCCCTCCCAGCCATCCCTCCCAACCATCCCTCCCAACCATCCCTCCCAACCATCCCTCCCAGCCATCCCCCGAGCCCAGCTCACCGTCCCCGGCCGTGCCCCCACACCTGCCCGGCTGGGGCTGCCTCACTGCCTGCCAGCGAGCTGGGACACAGCTGCGAAAGGAACAACTTTCTGCTAAAAAAATGCAACTTAGGCATGTATCTGCTGGGAATTCTGACAAACTACATCGCCCTGAGAAACCTGTGTCTGTAAAAATGGTGAAACTTGGCTGTGACTTTGGGACAACATATAGCTTAATCATGCATCAAAAGAGAATAGAGTAGATTTTAAAAAGCAAAACAAAATATATGCTCGTTTCTGTACCAGGACACGAGCTCTGCCCACTCCAGCAGCCCAGCCAAGGGTCCCTGCACTCCCAGGAGGGGAGAGCTTCAGCACAGAGTCCTGAAATCAAGTGACATGGATATTTTTCTGCTCTGTTGCATTAGTCATAATTACAACATGCCATTATTTTGCTATCTGCTCCTCTACACTTAAAATCAGCCTCTGCTTCCACTGGAAAAAAAAAGGATCCCTATGTTTTAAAAGCCATGTCGCAGCACAGGGAGCATTTATGTGAGAAATTAGCTCCAGTATTAAATGCCACATTGGCTAGGAATAGAAAATACAATATAGAATGCTTCCCTAGTACTGGATTGCGAAGCTGAATTGTTTGCCTGGTTTCCCTCAATCGCACAAAAAGGCAAATCTAGGTGTGATTGTGTTCGTGTAAGTGATGCCTCCTGTCCGGATTGGCAGAGCAGAAATAGCTGAAATGTTTGGAGATGCCGGAGGTCAGGCACAGCGAGAGCAGAGGGTGCTCAACAAAACCTCTTATTTACAGATGGGCACCCACTTAGGCTCCTGGCTGAGCTTGAGGGGAGAAGTGACAGAAAAAAGATTGCTAGATTTCTAACTGTCCTCTCCATACTTGCAAGACTTGAATTTGCCAGTTTTCATCTATTACTGAATCAGAAAAAAACCCCAAAGTAGATTGAAAGTGCTTTCTTATCTTTTTAAATATATGAAAAATTTAATTTATACTGAGCCTGTTTAACAATCAGAAAAAAACAGAGGAAAATGTAAGGACCAGACAGCTGTGTGTACATGCACTTAAACTTCAGATGTATTATTAATTCTTCTGCCAAGACAACCCAGTAAAACAAAACATCTTGCTAAGAATCAAATTAAGCAACGCACAAAGAAATTAAAATGAACAAATGTGTATGTCCACAAATGAGACAAGACTGCAAATTGCCACTTCAGCTTCAAACAGCCAGAGCTGAGGGGAGAAGCCGCAGGCAGAACCTGAGATGCTGCTTTAGTTGTCACTTGGGATTTCCCAATGCGTTGTTTCTAAAATTATCTCTCAGATTTCCAGATGATATTGCCAAGGAATTGGATATAGTTGCAGTGTATTACTTAACTCATAAATCCTAATTATTAATTACTGAGGTAATCAGCTTTTACAAGATTATTCTCTTGCACATACTTATTCACTGGGCTGCAATTGCAAGAGTAATTTCTATTCCTGAACAGCCACCTCAGTGTTCATTTCATGCACAGTGAAAGAGAAATAAAACCTTACAATAAAATTGCCATCATAAGAAAAGTAAAATCAACTCTGTAATTTAAGAGAAGAAAGAAATATAAACATGGTTATTAGGCCTTCCTACAAAGCCAGGTCACTGAAGTCACTGAGGCTGTTGTGTAGCAGTGCCCAAACATGAGAGCCCGGGCAGGGCACTGTGTCCTTCCCTGGGGTCAGATCCTGCCCAGCACAGAGCCTGGAGTGCTGCATCCATCCCTGGGTCAGATCCTGCCCAGCACAGAGCCTGGAGTGCTGCATCCATCCCTGGGTCAGATCCTGCCCAGCACAGAGCCTGGAGTGCTGCACCCCTGGCATGGGGAGCAGGAACCTGCAGGGAAGCAGTTTCCACCCATCTTCACAGCACTCCAGTAAACACAGACAGGACCTTGAGCAGTTATGAGGGAGAGTTTGAAGTGAACCTCCAGTTTCAGGAGCCAGCCACAAGACGTAAAGCTGGTGTCAGGAACTGGCACCAAACCAGCAGCATTTGGACACCTGCCTGCAGCCAAGCACTCGGTGATATCCAGAAGCCCACGTTGATCATAACCAGGTGGAGGTTTGAGGGTGTGCACAGATAGGTTCAATGGGGAACATGGTTATTGCCTGAAAATCTGCCAAGGAAAATGGAGGATTATTCATCTTCTCCCTACATCCCCATCAAAAGCACACTTTGCCTCTCTGAGCAATCAAAGAGCAAAACCAGCAGTGAGACCTGGCTTTATTTCTGACCCAAATGCTTCATGTCTCAAACACATTGCTTGTGTCCTGTGGGATGATCCTGGCCATGCCCTGTGCAGGTGACCCTGGCTGCTGGTTGGGCCCAGTGCCTGCTGCCTCTGGCCTCCCCAGGGGCATTCCCAGCACATCTGTCCCCTCTGGGAACTGCAGTGGCTCCAGGAGAAGTGCCCAGCTGCTGGTTAATCCCCAAAGGAATGGACTGCATGTCCCGTCTGTACTTACTGCCAGCTAGGGAGCAGCAGTATCAATAACATCCTTCTGAAGCTCTCCTGTGTCCCTGGGCTGCTCACAGGCAGCTGAAGAAGAGCCAGCCGTGCCCTGCTCAGAACAAGTCTCTGTCCCAGAATTAGCATGCAGGGGGAATAAGGCTCCCTCTGTCCCACAAAAACCCTTCCCAAGCAGAGCAGTGGCAGGGGTCACCACCAGCAAAGACGAGGTGTCAGTGTGACAGAGCCAGGCGCTGGCTGCTGAGATCCTTCTGTCACTGCTTTCACTGCTTTTCCAGGGACATGAGGCAAGGGAGTGGAGCCTCTTTCCAATGCAAGGAGCAGGATTTTCCCAAGGAGGACATGGTTACTCCAGCAACACAATCCCACAGCTCTGCCAGCACTCAGGAAGGGTCCAGCCTTCCGACCTCCTGCCCCCTCTTTCTTTTCTCTACAGCTGTACATAGGCTGGGAGAGACTTTACTCTGAACACTGCTCAGCCAGATTTTAACTGTAAATCAATCCAAGATGGCAGAAGACATTTAATTATTCCTATTTTCCTCTTAATTGTGTTTTGCTGTTGCTAAAATAGCAATAATAGAAAGCTTTGCAGCATTAACTAAAAGCTTTAGGGGAAAACCACATCTCATTGTGCTGCAGGAATAAAGGACCTGGTAATGCCCATGGAGCATCAAAGTTGAAACAAGATGCTGTTTTACTGGGATGAAAAGAAAAAGAGTAAGCAAGAATGTGTACCCAAGAAAAACAACTGAGGACTGAGGTACTGCTGCCTCTGTCACTCTTATCATGGAGGTTACGAATTCTTGTCTATGATTGTAAAATTAACTTTGTATTTGCTAATATTTAGACTGACATTACTTGTTTCCCAGGTGGTTTTCCAGCAGTTTCCTGATCGAGTCTCTTCCTTTATTGCCTCAGAGGTGGGTGCAGAGATTGTCTCCTCAGTGAGAGAAGGAGGGTACCTGGCAGCCCCATCATTTATAGAGTTGATTGGGAATTTTCCAACAGGAACTATTTGAGATTGTAATACGTTAACCGTATTTTGTGTGTGTGTATTTCATATTTTGATGTGAAAAATATTTCCTGCCTTGCTTGAACTACATGTCCTTCTTTGGTTTTGCTTTTAATTTTCCAACACAGTTTATATCTCCCAATACTTTCACCAGTAAAACTCTTACAGGCTTCAAGGCAGATAGTCAGGCCCAGTAGAATTAGGTCAGTCTTACATTAAAGTAGGTAATTTCTGTCAGAGGTTATGAAACCTTCTAAAAGTTACACCTATTTCTAATTTTTGTTCAGTGAATATGAAATTAATCTGAATATTAAAGGGGAATTGTGAAACTGGGAAGTGTGTCCCTTCACTTCCAATTTAGTTATATACAATCTTTTTCCCAGTTTTACAATTCCATTTTAAAATTCTGACAGTGAATTTCCTCTCTGTGATTCAAAGACCATTCTTTCCATAGGAGAACAGTTAAGAGAAAGTCCTAGAAAATGTAGATAAAAGCTCTTTAATCTGATGACTGTAGTTCATAAGATGTTGCTATTTAAAGAGTTTGCAGGATTTCAAACATCTCCTAACAAAAGGATGGAGGCACTGCTTGCCATAGCTGAGGAGTTTTTGTGGTTGCCATTAGAAACTCAAGCAAGCTGGGAGCGTGCATGGACAGTTTGTGCAGCTCCAGGCTGGGCTGCTGGGTGTGCTTTGTTCTCCCTTTGTCAGCTGTGCACAGAAATGCCTGAGCAAGTGTCAGGGGGATGGGGGCAGCTCTCCAAAGAGCTGCTGCTGCTTATTCCCTATCTTTGGTTGCTGCTGGCTTTTTTGGTGTAGTGTGGTTTTGGTTTTTGTTGGGTTTTTTTGGTTTGGGTCGTGTTGGGTTTTTTTTTGTTTTGTTTTTTATTGTTTTCTTCAAGGAAGGAACATTCTGTCCGTTCAGAAATTAAAGAAAAAAAGAGAGAGAGAACAGCACTGTATTTTATTTGTTTCCTTGTTGATAGCCAGTAATTTTTGGGTGTGATACATGACTGCCACTCTGCAGTGGAGCAGGAGAATCACCTGTTCTCAGCCCCTGGGCCTGGCCAGCCCTGCCCTTCCCAGGAGGTTCCAGGCACCCACTGCTGACTGGACATCCTGGGGACTCCACAGGTCCCTCTGACTCCACAGAGGGGCAGCTGCTGTCACCAGAGGCTGAGACTTTCCAAACCCAACTCTCTTAGGTGGGACACACGAGCCCCAGGGAATGGTGTGCCTTGCCTGCATGGCTCACCTCAGTTCGAGGTGACAAGGCAGAGTTCAAAGGTTGCACTCCATGAATCTTAGAGGTCTTCTCCAACCTAACTGGTCTTGTGATTCTGTAATTGGGGTGATTTGAGAAATGCTGAACCTGATTTAGCTTCAAACAACTGATTAACCTACAGTTATGTGCCAGATTTCCCCTTTGCTCCATTGAAATGCTGGAATTTTGTGAATGCCATAGCAACAGAAGCAGAAAGTGTGGAAATCTGGAGTGCAGGGAAGCTTGTGTCTGTTTTTGTCTAATGAGCTGAAGCTCTAAAGCATGCCTTTCCCCCTCGAATTGCGGTTTCCCATCGGTACTGCCCCAGCCAGGCTCCCTGCCCCTCTTGGCTGCAGTCCTTCAGTGGAGGCTGAGCAAGGCTGGATGTGTCCAGAGCCTGGGACCTGCCCATCTCACTTCAACAGCCTTTGGGCTGCATTAGGCCTAATTGAACCTAAATAACCATGAGTTATTAACCATGAATTCCCTGATGTGCTTAGCGAGAGGCCGCTCACATTTCCCCACCCCCCTGCGCCTTTCCTAAACATTTTGAAAAATTGGCACTTCTCTTATTATCTTTCCTCTCCAAGCTATTAAAAGTGTTCCTAATTCAACTCTGTTCCTACTAATTAGCTCAAATACACTTTAATCAGTGGGATTTATTCTGCTGTTGGACATGCCAAAATTCAACTCTATGGTTTCTCTAAGCTCAGTTTCTTGAGTTGTCTCCTTTCCAGACAGATCCAAGCTCTGATTTTCTAGCAGTCACTTCAGTGTTCTCATTTGGAAATAATTTCTGTCATATTATCTAAGTCCTTTTTTCATCCTTCACCTTACTGTGACTTATTTCCTGGCCTACCGCACAGAACAGAGTTGAAATCCTAGACCTGATAGGTGCAGTCCTGAGGACAAAAGGAGAGGGGGTGTGTAAATGAGGATATTGCAGGAGAGAAAAGCCCTTCAGCTGGAACAGCAGCAGGTCAGGAGCAGGGAGAGTCTGAGAATTCTTAGAGCACTTCTAACAAGACTGAAAAGAGAGAGACAAGGGGGTAGAGACACTCACTGAGCCAAAAACAGATTCACAAAAGAAAGGAATGGTTTCAAAAGGAAGAGAAAAATGGAGTGGAAGGAGCAAGTCCTGCTTTGCCAAGGCCTCTGATGCAGCAGCATGGCCAGTGCAGCAAATCTGGCTGAGACCACTCATTTTATCAGTGAAACAAGTCCCCACAGACAAAACAATTTTATTGCTTTTTAGTTGGTTTCAAAATTAGTCATGGACTGATTTTGTTCCTTAAATCAAACTGAAGGTGATCAAGACCTTGCAAAAGGCTTTCTTCCAGGGAGGCAGGGCTGCACCCAAAATGAGCAGAAGCCTTGCCCAGCATCACTGCCATGGAGAATAAACTGGTTTACAAATGTTAATAAAGAGTTTGAATGTTTTTCTGGTTACTCTGACAAAAGTTGGCACAAGAAGAATGCAGAATGATTTCTTCCAGCAGGTCAGCTGGCTGGCGTGGGGCTGGCACGGAGCAGAGGCTGGGCAGGGTCCTTGCACATACTTTACCTAGTTGGGAAGAGCTGGAGCAGGCCAGAGCCTCTGCCAGGGACGAGGACACGCTGCTGGAGCTCCACTGCTCTGCACAGACCTTACAGTGCCAGGAACACCAGGGGAAGGTGCATCCCTGAGCTGGCCACGGGAACAAGGGGGAGCTGCCCTGAACGGCCCCGGGGTGCTCCCCAAGAGCTGAGAGAGGCACCATGGCAAGGACTGAACCCCCACACTGCCCCCAGCACAGGGACTGTCCAAGGGATGAGAAGGAGCCTCCCTGTGCAGTGGGATTCCTGCTTCAGCCCTGCTCAGTGTTTGCACATGGTCTTACTGTGCTCTGCATTGCATTTCTACGGGCTGCTGTTGTGTGTCCTGTAAGGAGGGATTTTTAATGTTGAATTACGCTCCTCTGGGCTTAGAAGACAAAAGGTAGCAGTGCATTAAGATACCGGGAGTACAGCAAGAACATTTCTTTCTCAGAAAACCTTGCCTGGCTTCTTCCTAGCAAGCTCTGTGCTGTTAAATAGCTCCGGATTCATCTGTGGTGTCAAAGTGCTTTTGTTTTATTTACAGTTTTACTTGGTTTCTCAGGAGATGAAAGGGAAATAAAGTGACTGAAAATGTTTTCAAATGCAGTCTGAAAGCGAAAGAAACCTTTTGTTTCATTGCTTGGAAACCCCGAAAAGAGAACTGCAAGGAGCTCTTTGCTGTGAGACTCGGTGCTTCCTGTTCTTGTTTCTGCATGTTCTTTCTCTCTTAAGAATTTAGACAAATAAGAAGAGGGACACTCAGGCGCTGGCATGCTCTGCCCCAGGGTGCTGAATTCAGCTGGCACTGCCCAGCCCTGTTCAGCACCTCCCCATGCAGCCATGGATAACATTCCCTGGGAATGCTGTGATGCATTTTATGATCCCATGTTTTTCAGTGATAAAAGCCAGACACTAGAAGGAAATAGAGAACATGTTTTTCCCTCTAAGACAGAAGAGAAGAGCATGTGTTACCAGCCAGTTTGCTCTGCTCAATACCTACTCACTCCATATCATAATGAATTAATTCTTCAAGTAGCAAAATAACCAAAGAAATGATTTAGTCATCTCACTGTGAGTTACATGGGCTCTTTGAACAGATCAATTCTTTTAAGCTCAGAGATGTTAAAAATCAGATAGAAATGCTTTCATGAGGTGAACTGTCATGTACTGAGCAGAGGGAATGTTCATTTTTATCAAACAAGATTCTTTCCAACTGTATTTCTATGGATTTCCCTGGGTGCAGTTTTGTGTGTACCTTGTGGACTCCTGTGACGTGGCAACAACTGCACAATAAAACTCCCGGGAAAGGAATTTGGTCTGACAGTGCAACCCCAGCCCAGCACAACCCACACCTCTCCAGTTGTGCAACAAGGGATTCTTAATGTCCCAGCTCCTTTGGAAATGCTCTTAAAGGAGTTTGCTGATTTAGAATTCGTTTTTAAGCTAATGCCAAATACAAGTTTAAATCAGTATACAATAAAAATGAAGTTCCTTGTGTCCAGCTGGGATGTGAGGGGGGTCCTTCAGCAGCTTCAGCACTGACCTTGGCCCATCGAGGGAAACAGAAAGTGCAAACTGTCACCCACTAGAAACAGTGAAACAGCTTTTTTTTAACAGCTTCATTTTCTTAATGGGATATCAGTAAATAATTTCTTAGAGGAACTAACGATCTGAAGAACAAAACACTAATTAAATGGGGTGTTTTCAGACCATAAAACCATGTGTGTGCCTTAATGAAACAGGCACACAACCAGTCAACTTGTATCTAGATCCTCTTTACTTTGCTGTTGATGTTTAACTTGATTCCTATCCACAGTAACATTCTTTGCAGCACCTCAGGGCAGGAGGAAACTGAGTCTGGAACAGCCACTTTCTGCACTGCTGAAAGCCCTCAGCCCCAAAACGTCACAAGAACTGGGAATGCTCAGGCTCTATCTGAAGACAGGGCAGAAACACTGACCAGTGACAGCACCAGTCCCTGCAGTGCATTATAACCACTGCCCAGTGTTCCCAGTGCTGCAGTGCCCAGCACAGAACCCAGCTGTTCCAGGGCAGAACCCATCTTCTCCAAGAGAAGTCCTCTCCAAGGGCAGAGCCCATCCTGTCCAAGGGCAGAACCCATCCTCTCCAAGGGCAGAACCCATCCTGTCCAAGGGCAGAGCCCATCCTGTCCAAGGGCAGAACCC